CGGATAGTCACTCATGCCCTCGTCACCTCAAGTCTGGACTACTGTAACACGCTCTACATGGGGCTGCCCTTGAAGAGTATTCGGAGACTTCAACTTGTCCAGAACGCAGCCGCGCGAGCGATTGTGGGTGCACCTCGGTACACCCACGTTACACCTATCCTCCGCGAGCTGCACTGGTTACCGATCAGTCTCCGGGTACGCTTCAAGGTGCTAGTCGTAACTTATAAAGCCCTTCATGGTATTGGATCTGGGTACTTGAGAGACTGCCTGCTGCCAATTACCTCCCACAGACCCATTAGATCTCACAGGGTTGGCCTCCTCGGGGTGCCATCTACCAGCCAATGCTACCTGGCTATTACCCGGGGGAGGGCCTTCTCTGTGGCAGCTCCGGCCCTCTGGAATGAACTCCCCGCAGGGATTCGGACCCTCACCTCTCTCCAGGCCTTCCGAAAAGCCATCAAAACCTGGCTTTGCCAGCAGGCCTGGGGGTGATGAGTTCCCTCCCCTTTCGACATGTATGGTTGTGCGACTGTTGTCTACTTTTATTATTTGTATTTTGTCTTTTATGTTCCCCCCTTTCCCCCCCCCTTGAAGTTTGCTGGCCTGAGTCCTCCCAGAGAAGGGCGGCATACAAATAATACAATACAATACAATACAATACAATCGGACTAGGTACTTCACCATCAGTGTTTGTGAGCATGAGGTTTGATCCTTGTTGATGTATAGTAGCTTGCTCTGCTAGTATTGGTGGGAACTACTCCTTGGTAGTTACTATTTTGTCTGGTGTTAATTCCTGCCTCTGCAAAGCAGAATGTATTGATTTCTGCAAATGATAAGTTCTGATCTTTGATAGATTCCATGCAAATACAAACAGGGAGATGCTTTTGTTACACTGTCAATGTTAAGGCACCAATGGTTGTTTGTACACATTTTTTTGTGCATGTGTATAAAACAAAATTTGTTTGAAACCTGTTGAGTGTACAGAAAAAGTTTGGAATTTATGTTTGTCCCTTTAAAAAAGCTGAATCTTTTCCCATGGTGGATGAAGGAATTGGCCATGCCTACATTCACACCCCCCCCCTTTTCTGGTATGTATTTTTTATGTGAATTTTGTGATAAGTCCAGGAAGTTGAGATATTTGTTGCTTGTTTGTTATTTTTTATTGTTTGAAATGTCTGAGGTTTTTTTTTCACCCCCTCCCTTTTCTATTTGATTTAGCCTTTCCCAGGCTCAAAGTTCTCTCCTCCAGATTTTGTAAGATTTGCTAATTAAGGTATCTGCCTCTTTGGTATCTGCTTCTGTCTCTTCTCTAATTAAAGGTCACAGAGAGGATACGGAAGGGGGGGGGCACAATATGTTTCTACAGAAAATCACTGGGAACAGATTCTTTCACACACCTTTTTGTGGGGGTTTTACATACAAATCAAATTAATTTATTTGCATTTGCACCAAGGTTTCACTGAGTATCTCTACATATATAGAGTGCAAAATATGCAAGATCAATAGTTTTCAATGAGATCATTTTTTGGGCAACATTAAAAAAAACCTTTTCTATAGGACTGAGTATCAATGGAAATAGCACATATGTAGAAAACATTATATTACATGATGTTTTCTTATTGTGTTGATAAGGGAGATTTCCATGAAAGATCTGATGGACAAAAAGGACACAGAGAAAGATATTCAAAGTGTTTTTAAGGGGAAAAAAAAGACAAATGGATAAACGTATTTCACAAAGGATGGCCAGGTGGAAGGAGGATCATCTTCCCTCTCTGAATCCTGATTAAAATGGAAGTGAAGAAGTCTTTTGAACTGAAAGCATGCACTTTTAACCTGGCACAAAATGAAGTTCCAGTTAAGTCAAACAGAATGATGAAATTAAACCTTGCAGCCATAATTAAGTTTTTAAGAACATGGACTGCTGGCTCCTGTTGCCTTACAGCTCTTGATTTAAAATATTTTTATTTATTTACTTTTGGCTCCTAAAAGCCAAGAGATGATTTGTGAATAGCAATTCAATATGTTGATTCATTGTTCTCTGCTGATAACTTTCCAGCATGTACAAAATACAGGGCATGCTCCATTTCCTTATTGGGAGATGCTGCATACTGAGTACAATGGAAAACATCAGATTATGCAAGAGATAATTGAAATAACTGAGCTTTCAACTTTTTCCAGCATAAAGACAGCTGCTACCCAAATAAAATAAAATATTTTGCAGGGTAGCTTCTACTCCCCACTTACTGCCAATGGCATTCCAAAATTTGGACTGATTATCAAATCCTTATCTAAAGCTAACCTGAGAAGAAATCTTTTTGGCAGTTAACATAAAAGCGGATAAAATGGGGTGAAGATAGAAGCTGCTACCCCAAATTTGTTTTGGTTTGTTTTGATAAGTAAATTGGAAAGAATTTTTTTTCCCCACATGATCTTGGCAAATATCTTTTTCTTTCCAATTACGTGTACTCTTTTATTGGGATGGTGGTGGTTTCAATACACATTCTGGAAAGGCAAAGCAATACAAAGTTCGAAGGAATAACCTCACAGGTTCATTTAAGTCATTTGAGGACCACCAACTCCAGAGACCCTGGAAGCAAGTCCTACTAGAGATGTTCCAACCTTCCAGATAGCAAGTAAAAGAAAGAAAAGGCAACGTTCTGACTATGAAACCCTGAAGAGCTATGAATACCATTTTAATGGGTTTTAAGCCAATTGTCCTCATGGCAGTTTGCTTGTTTTACTATATTCATCATCTTTCCTTTGCTTTTCTGCAGCAGTGTTGCTAAAAATTTGGTTTCTGTTGGTATGATATATTTACAAAAGCATGCAAGTCATTGAACTGGCTGTCTAGCAACAACTTTTAAATAAAATAATTGCCTTAAGTCTGCTTCATAATTCCATCTGGAGTCTGCAAATTTTCCCTTTGTTTTCATGTTGTATAAACCTTGATGGGTATAGGCTCAATATCGAAGAGAACTCGTGTTTGAGGTAGTGGTTTATGCACTGAGAGTGCCTTATGGAGGCCCTACAAAAACTGCTCTGTTAAGGCATATTTTTAACCCAGAATCTAATTTTTCTCTTGGTAGCATAGAAAGGGATGCTATAAGGGAACAAACTGAGATTCTGGGTTAAGAATATGCTTTAGCAGAGCAGTTTTTGTAGGGCCTCCATAAGGCACTCTCAATGCACAAGCCACTCAGCCTCAATCACTAAGGTCAATTCTTTCTTATATTGAGTCTATACCCATCAAGGTTTATACAGTGTGAAAATAAAGGGCAAATTTGCAAGAGCACAATGTATGTGTTAGATTGTTAAGACATGCACTTTTCTACCAGCAATTCAAAATGTCATACAAGCAATACAGCTTGATTATGTTCAAACTCCCCTGTGCTTACCAAAGATACAGCATTTGTTGACAGAAATTATTCCATATTTTCCTTTCCTTATGCCTCAGGAGGTCCTTGTACAATTGGGTATTTCATGCATTTCATACAGTACCAGTTGCTTAAAACTATACTAATCACAAGCCCAAGAGAATTCACAAATACCAGGATGGCGGCTCCCCAACTGCTATTACCGGTACCATAATTGGCACACCAGCCAATTACTTTGATACAAAAAAAAAACCTGGCTTGTGTAGTTACAAAATATATAGAGACTTCAAACACTATAGCCCTCCTAAATGAGAAGCAGGAATAGCCAAGAACAGCAATCTTACACACTGGCTTTATGTTATTCATTGGCTTTATGCTATTCAAAATGACCCATGGTTGTGAGCAATTTCTAGCTTTGTATTGCTTTAACCTGACAATTCCTTGCAAGTAAAAACATATTATGCAAAATGTAATGTAATATATCTGGCAAAAGGAGATACAGAATAGGTTTTGGCAACCTATGAAATTGGCTTACCTTGTTACCTGGGACAGGCCAGTTTCAAAATGTGGCTGTAGATTGCCTACTCTTCTGGCTGGCATTAGGTCTTTTCAGTATTTGTTTCCAGAAGCGTGTAAGGCAGAGATATATTTGCCCTCCAAGAGGTCAAAAAGGGGAGAACTATGAGGAAAATAAGTTCTTGGAGGAGTGGGGGCATATTAGCAAGGTAGAAACATAGAAGGAATGCAGTTATCAAAACTGCTATGGCAATGCAACTAATTCTTTTTACTAAGACAATAGCTCTTTCTTGAGGATAGTAGCAGTAGATGAGGAACTAACTTGAGATTTTCTAATTATTAATATTCATGCTTATATCATCATATGCCTTTGTGTGACTATTAGCTTCTCCTTTCCTGAAATGTATAAAGCACCACAATCCAAGGACTCTATCTTCTCTTCCTTTGGAACTATTGAATTCAACAGCAAATTTATAGCATTTTAGTATGGCAGTCCATTCATTATAGCTATAGCAGTTTCCCAGAAATGACAAATTAGGGGGAAAAAATGACTACATTTAAATCTCTAATTTGCTTAGCATTACAGAAAGGTAGGTTAATTCTTCCTTTAGTTCAACACACTGTCTGGTTTCAGGAAATGTCTTATACTCGAGTATTACCCACTACTAAGGCCTGCTCTCCGTTTAAAAGAAGTTCAATTTATGCTGATTCTGTAAGGATTAAAGACTGCCATTTTGGCATCATAAAAATACAGGTATTTGTACAGCCGCAGGTTTTTGGATTGATGTTTTTTTGTAGTTAGGGGACCTGCACTTTTTCTCTATTTTTTCCTTGTAACATTTACATGTAAGATTAAACCTTTAATAATGCAGAAAATGATAAGAATCATATTCTTAAATCCACTTTCACATGCTGAATTTTAAGATCTTAATTTTTGTACTGTTTTTCAGTTCAGTGTGTATTCAAGTGATCTTTCCTCAGAATATAAAGTTAGACACAAGGGGTTTGTTTTCAGATTATCAATATGTCTAATTATTTGTTACTTTGAATTACCCATTACCAGCTTCAAATCTAAAAACTCTTTAACAAATTATAGAAATACTGAACAACTACATTTGTACAATTTAAATTTATTTTGAAAAGTCAAATAATTACAATTTCAGACCATACCACTAACTAGAACCTGCTTTATCTTAATTTCTGTATCATGTAGACTTGTGTGAACAGATCAAATAATTCTTATATCCAGTCACTTAGGCTTATCCTGATTGTGGAGTAATAAAAATAGGAGGAATACTTTGCAGGTCAGCTTGGTATTTAAAAGAAATTTCAATTTCCTCTCAGCAGTACTGGAATTATTTTACCAAAGCTCATTAAAGAGAATGTCGGGTATAAGGGTTTTTTTCTCACCCTCCAAGGGATAGTCCTTCCAGTCCAATATTCTTTTAATTATTAAACCAAGGATACAGGAAATTCTGGCTTCAGATTAACATACCAAATTGTGTTAGAGTGAAATAAACTGGACAAGCAGATTTTTTTGAAACAAAAGATGAGAGGTTATTAAAGTAGTAGTTTTCTACTGAAAATACGACATGCAAGCATTAGCACACCAGTTCTTTCTCCATGAGGTTGAACAAAAATCCACTTGTTTAAAAAAACAAACAAATGCATGAATTACAAAATATTTTACCACTCTTGGGATTCCCATTAATTTTTGTTTAAAGATATTTAAGTACATAAAACTACAACAATTACACCTGGAATATTATAATAAGAAGAGAAGAAAAAAGGTATTTCAAAAGAAAATACATCTTAATGAACCAGGAACATTTTAATTGGATACAGGATAATGGTAGGGAACCAACAGGAAAAGCTAGGTTCGGAACATGCTGTTGAAAAATTGTATTTGCTCTGTAACTGACTGTTTTTCTTAATAACGCCCTGAAAGAAAGAAAGAAAAAGAATGCTGTAACTATAAATTCACACCTCCACATCAGCTTCTACAATAATTTAGTTCTTTCTGAAAAGAGACTTTATTGTATTAGCATTTCCTATGATATTCTTAAAATCTCTCATTATATTAAGATTAGACTTACTCTTTAATTAATATAGTTATACTTACTTGGACTGTAGGAACGAGATCTTGATCTTGATCTGTAACGACTATAATATGGTGAAGGTGATCGCCTCCTTTGAAAGAAAATGCAAAGTATTTTTGTTGACAGTGGCTCATTTCATATTCATATATTATGAATATTATGTACATTAATGAGGTTTGAATATATTGTTTGTAGGGTTTATGGAAAAGCAGAGTTATATTTTATACATGTAATCCTTGACTTATATTCATTCATTTATTGACCATTTCAAATTAAAACAGCACTGAGAAAAGTGACCATTTTTTCATACTTATGACAGTTGCAGCATCCCAATGGTCAAGCAATCAAAATTTGGATGCCTAGCAACATGTATTTATGCCAGTTACACTGTCCTGGATCATGACATCACCTTTTGCAAGCTTTTAACAAGTAAAGTCAATTGGGAAGCCAGATTCACTATAACAATCATATTACTAACTTAACAACTACAGTTAATTCACTTAATAACTGTAGTAATTAAGGTAGTAGCGTAAGGCAAAACCCTCTTAACAATTATCTTGCAAATTTTTGAATCAATTGTAATTGCAAGTTGACCACACACACACAGGTAATCCAGTTCACTTACTTACTACCTCAATCAGTGACCATTCAAATGCTGTGTCCTCACAATTACAAAACTGCAATTTGGGCACTTTGCAACTGGCATGCATTTTTGGTGGCGGAAGCAACCAGTGGTCATGTGAATGCCATTTGTAACCTTTACAGTCATCTTCTAACAAGCAAGGTCAATGGGGAAGGCAGTAGGAAGCTGTGGTCATGTGATGTTAATGAGTTGCAGTGATCTGCTAAACAATTGCAGTGGAAGTGGTTAAGTCCAGTTAGTCATGTGATATTTTCACTTAGCAACTGCATCAATTAAAGATAGAGTTGCCTGCCCCAAATGCAGTTTGTAGTGTGGATTACCTATATTGGGTTATACAACAGCTGTAGGCTACTTAGCACGAATATACATTCTATTTTTAAATAACTCCCCAATCAGGTTATAATCAGGTTTTATTTGCAAAAACTTTGAAATTGCCCTATTTGCCATCCAGGTACTTCCTAGGATATTTTCCCAAACCAAGTTTCTTCCATTTCTATTTTATTATTTGTTTCTCACACTGTATATCTTTCCTCTGTTTTTAAAGTGATTCAATTATATCTATGAAAGAATATTACAATAGTATCAACTATTTTGTCACACTCTAATTAAAAGCTTTACACTGAACTGTAATCCAATAATACTGATTTATTTTCTTTTTTAAATGTCAGGCAGAATCAAGAGTATAGCATCTACAGAAGACTTAAAACTGGAAAACTCACTTCCTATTTATTTTGCCTTTTCACAGGATACAAACAAGGTCATCTCATCCTGATAATATCTGTTGAATCTATTTTTTTCCTTAAAAAAAGAACATGCAATGATAGAATACCCCTCTTTTTTATTAGAAAATAATCAACTGAGTAAGCTTGACTAATTATTTTCTATCTAACAAGGAACAAAGAATGTTCCTTGCTAGAAAATGTATCTGCTACTACCAGATGGATTTTAAAAGTGGTAACAAAGGAAAATAGTTTATTTATCTGTTGGGTACAAAGTAAGATGGCCACTCCTTTCCTCCACCAAAATTACAAAGTTTCATTTATTTGTTAATGAAGTGTTCAGTATAATATTCATTATTATCCTGCCTGTTTCATACTATTAGCTAAAATGGGCAGTATAGAAATTTAGTAATTTAGAAATTTGCTGACTCAATTTGCTAAAAATCTGTAAACCGCTTAGAGAGGGCCGAAAGCCCTATGAAGCGGTATATAAGTCTAATAAATAAATAAATAAATAAATAGTAAATAAATATAGTTTTCCAAATACTGCAAAATATTTGCTGGCAATATCCTAGGAGAGGTAGATCTGAACATTTTGGGCACATATTTTTCACACATTTTGAGAGAAATTTACAGAATTTGGCTTATGAAGGCCATATACTTTTATCTGTCATTTTAAATCTGCAGTGTAGATAATTGAAGTTTGTCTCCCAAATTTAGTGGTGTACTCTTAGGGTGGTGTGGAAATTAGGGGACTCATATGACTCTTACATTGTCCATCTCTGCTAAATGGAGAAAGGAGATTTCTGAGGACCTCCAGAGAAATCGTTGGTTCTTATCAAGCTGGAAAAGCTTACAAAACTATTTCCCAGGAGTTTGGACTCTGCCAATCTATTGTTGGGGAAACTCTGTATAAATGGATGCAATTCAACAATATTGTTAACCTCTCTAGGAAGGGTTGGCCAAATAAGAACACAAAGCTGCAATTCTTACAATCCAAAAATTGTGTTTGCTCCCAAAATGGTTATCACTTCCAGCACTGTATCAAGTGGCTTCAGCATAGAAAGGTGACACAGTGTATTGGCAAATTCTTTCCCAAAGCCATCTCAAAGATTGCTTTTGGGAAACAGAACTTGGTAATCTCCCAAATGGCCATCCTATACAGAGGCTGATTTATGGCATCCTGGAATAAGCATCATTTTGGGAATGACCGCAATACTTGCAATTTGAGAACTGTGACTACTTCCACAATGGCATGTACTTTCACAATGGTATGAAATGACCTCTGAATAAATGTATGGCTTTCCACATAATCTCTCTCTCTGTTCTCTGTCTGTCTGTCTCTCAATAAAGGCAACAGAGGTGGAGGTGAAGGAACAGCGGAGGTGGAGATTGGTTGCTTTGCTTTCTCAAAGGCAATCTTTGGAAAAGATAAGTGCAGCAAGATGGGGGAGGAAGTCCAAGGGCATGGAACATAGTGTGTTGTGAAAGGCCTGGGGAATCTGAAGCAGGCCACATATGAGATGAGGTGGTGTTGCAGTGTAAGCTTGGGGCTGTGTTGCTCTTTTTATGGACTTTCCCACCCTGAATACCTCTTGCTCCTCTTAACAACTGCAATGAGATCAGGGATTGTGGCCATTAAGTAAAGCAATTATGTGGCTGTCTCACTTAACAGCCACAATTTATGACCATAATTTTTGATTCAATTATGATTGTAAAGCAAGAATCACCTGTACTCTACAAAAACAACATTTCTACCCATCTACCATCTATGAAAAATGATCAGTGTAAACTGAAAGGTTAATGAAAAAATGTTCTGTAAATAGAGATGAAAACAGAACTCTGAAAAAAATGATTTATTTATATTCCATTATTGAACAAACATATTTAACTTTATTTATTGAAACAAATAATAAATAAGTTTTTTCTGCTTTATAATTAGATTCTCTATCTAATTAGAATGTGTGGAGAACAGATCATGTGATATTTAGGCAGAAATACTGAACATTCAAAAGGCTTCACAAAATTTTAAGCAACACTATTAGAATTTATTGCTTGTTTTAAAAGTTTTCTATAATTTCCACATACAATTTGAATACTTACCTATAGCGATAATCATATTCTTCATATCTGTCATATCCTCTGTCGTATCCTCTGTCATAATAGGAATCACGGCGACGGCCAGTTCCTCCTCCTCCACCACCACCACCTCCTCCTCCGCCTCCACTGCTATTTATTAAAAAAGAAAGAATTCAAACAGGTTAGGCTGAAAGCTATGCATCTATTTAAGATTTGTATCAAGGATCAAGACAATACTTCTAATGAAGGAACTGAAGATTCATAGTTGACAATTTCAGCAATTATTCAAACTAGCATCATATATCAAAAATTATTTACAAGATGTGCTCAGGTCTTATCCTAAGCTCAGGGAAAAAATAAATAAATATGCTTCAGGAAGAGTATTTAAATCCTTACCTTTTTTTGCAAGCTTTCAACTACAGTTAACTGATATGAGGTCATTCCTCTGTATGTATACATTTCTGTAGTATTTTTAATTGGCTTTTATTCTAGTTTTAATTTTATTCATTTTAGTTATTCTGTTGTACACTAAGAACCTGGTGGCGCAGTGGTTAGAATGCAGTATTGCAGGCTAATCTTAATTGGCTGAAGGTTGACTCAGCTGTCCATCCTTCTGAGGTCAATAAAATGAGGACCCAGATTGTTGGGTGCAATGTGCTGACCGCACTTTAAACTGCTCAGAGAGTGCTGTAAAGCACTATCAAGCAGTACCATATTTTTCAGAGTATAAGACATACCTCCCTCCCCCAAAAGAGGGTGAAAATTTGGGTGCTTCTTATACACCAAAAGTAGCCTCACCCACCCGCCCTCACCCTTTGGTCTCTGCCTCTCAGCAATTTACTTCCTTGCAGCAAATGGAGAAAATGGGGTTTCTGGAAGCGGCAATAGGCTATGGCAGTGATAGCAAATCTTTTTCTTATGGTGTTCCAAAATTGTATGTGCATGCGCTGTTGCACGCACCCACACCAATTCAACCCTCACCGGCACATGCGACTCCTCCCCTCCCCAAGACTCTGGAGGCTTTCTTGAAGCTTGGGGAGGGTGAAAACAGTCTTCCCCAGCCCTCTGGAAAGCCCCAAACTCAGTAGAGTGCCAGACCTGGTGACTGGTGTGTCAGCAAATATGGCTCTGCATGCCACCTGTGGCACGCGTGCTGTAGGTTCGCCATCATGGGGCTATGGCAATCCCTGCAGCCTGAAACAGTTAATAATTGGGAGGCCCATACTGAAATTGAAAGTGAAACTTGCTGTTTGCTGCAAGGAGGCAAACTGATGGGAGGCAGAGGCAGATTTTTTTTTCTTGTGCTAATCAGGCTGTTTGCTGCAAGAAGGTAACTATAAATGTCTATAGAATGTTCAAATTATTAGACTTGTTTTTTTAAAGACAGCTTTATTATTGTTCTAGACAACTTAACAAAATGAAGAAGCTTTTTAAAATAAATGCTTGATCTGAAGAGGCCCATGCTATTGTATCTCCTTTTAAATAGCAGAGAATAACATATACTTCCCGAAAGCCACATCAATTTTAACAGCTTCTGTACAAGTATAGTCTAAAATGTAAGTGTCCTGTTGTCTAATTAGATTCTGACTTAGTCATGTTCGGAGTAGGTCTATTTAAATAATTGGGAGGAATTAGTGTGACCACATTTAAGAAAACTTTCTGGCATTACTGCCATAATGTACATTTCTCCAATTCTTTGTTATTTCTATGGGTCAGGCACAAACGCACAGAAACACACCACAAACAGGGTGTATTTTGTGTACTGTTTCCTGCAAGGAGGCAAATTACTGGGAGGGAGAAGGAGATTTTTTTCCTCTTCTTTTCCTCCCTAAAACTAGATGCGTTCTATACTTCGGAGCCTCTTGTACTCCAAAAAATATGGTATATAAGTTCTAAATACTATTGTTATACTGCCCAGAATTGTAAAACTGGGGCCACTTAACAAATACAATAATCTCTGAAGCTCTGGATTATATAGTGTTTCTCTATCAGTTGGCAAATAGAAAAGTGTTCACGATATGCTATAACGTTCAACTTCAGAACGCTATATATAAAAAGTACAGTATGTTGTTAAACTTGGCAGCTAGGCCCTGTACACATGTATTAAGAAAGTTGAAGTCAATCATTAGGGAGAAATACTGTTCATCTCTTATCCTGAATTGAAAGCTTCTTAATTGAATTAGGTTCTGAGTTATCTGTCAACAAAAGCTGCAAAAATGCATACCCCTATTGCTTCCATTTAATGTTATGTTAATTTTAAAGATATTTATTTATTCTTCAGGAAATACTCAGTACAGACTACAATCGCACCTATTTCTGGAGCCCCAGGACCCAAAACAGAAAAGGGAACAATGGGCTTATTTTGAGCTCCATTGCTTTCCTATAGCAAAATATTGGAACTATTTGTTACGTTGTATTGGAACCCAATCTTTTGAAACCTTCTGAGGGAACCCTCTAGTGAGATAGATTGTTTGGAGTTTGAATAAGCAGGTCTGTGTACGTTTACTCTTATCCATTGGGCTCTGGTCTCACTTAAAATGCCAGTCATAGAATATATTTATAGAAATAATAAGAGTGAAATAAATCAGTCATTAGATTAGAACATATTTAAAGGAACTGAACATTCCACTTAAAAGTCCAATGGCAAATAAATTTCTCATAGTAATAGGATTAAGACAATCTTGAAATAAAAATAGTATCTTACTGAGTTGGTCTGCCCATATAGATGCCAGGGGTAGGTGTGTGTGCTCTCTTTGTGATAGAGTAATCCACTCTGATTCTTCTACCATCCAGCTCCATTCCATTTGCATGTTCCATTGCCTACAAGATAGATTAAAAAAACACAAAACTGTTATGTCTGTATGTAGTAATCTTCTACAAATTTAACTTCAATCTTTTTTTTTGGGGGGGGGGGATTGTGATCAATTTAAAGCAAACACTGGAAGATGCTAATACATTCCTGACATTTTATTTCTAAGGAAAGCAAAAAACAAAAAATAGGCAGCTGTTTTTTTTCAACTAAAATTAAGAATTCTATGATTAGCTTCTTCTCACAGATTCAGCTATCATTTCATTACTTCCCTGTCTACTTCCATTTCATTTTTTCTAGAAGAACTGGGTATAATTGAAGTTTTAATAAAAGCTCTTCCAGAAGAGATCCAAGTTATTTTTTAATCTATATAAACATTATTAAAATTCTACTATAAAATAAGCATAAAAACACAATAAACCACAAAAAACTTAAAACATGCAAATACAAATCTAAACATATAACTTAAAAACACCCCATGTACAACTTCTGCTTTCGTATTCCTCAAAGATCTTCTGTCTTTAATTTCTTCACAGATCCATTAATCCTCTTTAATTCTTTTGTAGATCAGATTCCTGTTTATGTAACTTTTTAATTAGTATCTTTTTAAACATGCTGCATTGTGGTAGTTATGTTTTAAAAACGCCTCAAAAGTGGTAGACAGAAATGCATCAAAATGTCAGAAAATCCTGAAAATAAGATTTGAACTGAATGTACAAATATTTTTATTGGGTATCAATGAAAAATATCACAATTTACTAAAATATATGACAACTGCAAGAAGAAATTTGGCACAGCCAAGAGAAGAGAAACTTTGCCTACAACATGAGATTGAAAAACTAAAAATGGAGAACATGTTGCAATGACAAATTGGCATTATATATACTTAATAGAAATCTAATTAAATTTAAGGAAAGGTGACTCCCATATATGCTAATGCTATACACATTGCATAGTAAGGCAAATTTAGTGATTTGTGATAAAAGGCAAGAATGTGGCACTGGAATATTTCCCATATTGCTTCTTTTGTTTTATTCCACTGTATCTATTATCACTATTTCACATAAAAATTTTTCCTATGTATTTTACTATTGCAACAGTAAAAATGTATTTTAAAACATTCTTAATATATCACGAGACTGATTTTACATTAGGCCCCATCCCTTACAGAATCAGAGATGTTGAAACTTAAGACATTTAAAAATTGATAATTTCAATTAATGAGGAAAATTCCTGTTTGCTATCAAATATTTTGTTATAAAAAGTTAACACCATTCCAGAGAGAATTACTGCTTCTATATCATAATAGACCTATCAGAATGTTCACTCAGAATCTCTTTGCATAAGACATAATTGCCCTATTGTACAATAACACTTATGTATTGGCCACCAACACATTTCAGGATATTATCATTTAATTTAAATAATTATATTGAAGTGGGAAAGTTGAGAATTTAGTGATTAAATTCACAGACAAAGTAATTCGGTATTATTTATAGCTTGAAACAAAATAACAGGAAAACTGAATATTGAATATATCCGTGTTTAATATTTTTTTTAAACCACATTAATTATAGACTACACTGCCACCTAGTGTTTCTTTTTATTCCACAGAAATATTTGTTTCCTTTTTATTATGTCATAAATCTTATGCATTGTGTTGTTTCAATACACTGATGTCTGTATAATGTGTTTAAAATTATTTTTTATTTAGATGGCTTAGAATAGGAAGAATGAAAAAGAGGGGAAAAAAATCTATCAATGTTAATTCCAATTTTGGCTTCAAAACTACAAATGTAAAATTATTTAATTTTTTTCATCCAAGCAAATTTATTCTGGTTTCTGTTTGTAATTGTATGAATCTTTCCCCACTTACAGAAATGTTATTAAATGCAAATTATAGTAAAATGAATATTATTTGCAAAAACACAGTACACTTTAGTGAAGAGAGCAATCATCAGCCTGTAAGTGTGACATTACGAGGTCTCTCAGATTGAAGACCATGTAATATGGCTGACACATGGCTCACCAAAAAGGTAGAAGTGATCCATAATAAAAGGTTAATGTGAGCTAAAGTTGATAGTAAGGCAATATCAGACTGTCTTAAAGCAGAGAATGCTACTAACTGGGCTAGAACAATCCAGTCATCTCCTACTGACTGGCGGTCAACCTTCAATGTATTTTCTAATCTTTGTAATATCCTGAAGAAACATATAACACTTAAGCCTGCTATCAAAAGATCTTGAGTGGGTAGATCCCGTTGGTTTGATTCTGAATGCCAGCAGCTGAAAAAGAAATTGAAAGCAGCAACGAGGCTTTCCCAGAAGAACCCTACTGCTCATATTCAAGCTGACATGTTGCACATAGCAAGAGAATACAACAAAAATATAAAATTAAAGAAAAAAAAGTTCTGCTACCTTAATTTGGGCAGAACTTGAATTGGCCCGTAAAAGTCATAATTCAGCAATACAGCAGGAGTTTTAAGGGATATTTTATATAACAATCTTAGCTGAGGAATGGGAGAACTATTATAGAAGTCTGTTTGCTTCTAAGTAAAGAAACTGCCTTTGAGTGGTGAACTAGCACCCCCTGAAACCCTTCCGTCTTGGCCATCAGTCTCTATAAAAGAAATGCAATTGATTATTAAATGACTGAAGAGCAAAAAAGCCCATGGTGAAGATTTTCTATCAGCAGAAATATTTAAGAATTTTGCTGACTAGTGGAGTCCATTATTGACAGGTCTTTTCACTCATATAAATAACAGATGCCATATTCCAGTTGGCTGGAAGATGGCAATAGTGGTCCCCATACACAAAAAAAGGAAATAAAAAGTATACCGGTATTTATAGACCCATTAGTCTGATTAATATTGTAGAAAAAATATATGCGAGCTTCCTTTTGAATAAAATGAAAATCTGGGCAGAGCAAAATCATATTCTCATAGAAGAGCAAGCAAGCTTTAGCCAATTTCATCTACCATTGACAACTGCTTTTTTCTGAACCATCTAATTGCCAAATATGCCTATAAAAAGAGACCCCTATATGTAGCCTTTAGATCTCACAGCCACATTTGATTTGGTAAACAGAGATGTACTATGGTGTAAACTGACAGCTCTTAAAATTGACCTAGACTACTAATCCTGATTAAAGCCCTATATACAAATACTTGTTTGAAAGTGCAGTATGGGGTTAATGGAGTTCTGATTAACAGGATTCACACAAACAAAAGGGTAAGACAAGGGTGTATTTTAGCCCCATTATTATTTAATTTATACACCAATGACTTGCCAGGATTAATGAGGGACTCTATGATGTACATGCCAATGATTCTAAATAGAAATCGTAACATCTTGCTCTAATATGATGATATGATCTTATTATCGTACTCAGAAGTAGGATTGCATAGACCAATGATGGCGAACCATTTTTAGTTCGCATGCCAAAAGTGAGGGGAGCACAGAGGAGTCATGTGCGGGCATGCCACACCCATAATGCTATGTGCACAACCCAGCACACATGTGACCCACTACCTCCCTGCATTCATGTCCGAGTGATCAGTGCTCCCCCTACTTTTGGTGCTTTCTAGAGCTTGGTGAGGGTGAAAACTGCCTCGCCCGGGAGGCTTCAGAAGCTTTCCTGAAGGCTCCAGAGCGTGAAAAATCAACTCTATGGACAAAATGGAAGTTTGGGAACAGACTTCCAGTTTGCTCGTAGGCCGTTTTTCACTCTCTGGAGTCTTCAGGAGGCTTCCCTGAAGGCTCCAGAGGGCAAAAAGCAGCCCTACGGCCAAACTAGAAGTCATTTTTGCCCTCTGGAACCTTCAGGCGGCTTCCCTAAAGGCTGTGGAGGGCGAAAAACGGTACCACGGCCAAACTGGAACTCACCTGCTGCAGCAGTCAGAACTGAATTGAGAATTTATATAATTTATGCACTGTCCAAAATTAGAACTTTTAATTACTGGTTCAAAATTAATGAAATGGAGACTATAGACTCCCTAAGTTATGTCTACTAGAGCAGATAAGATTGCAATCACAAACTCTCTGGATTACTAAATTGACAAATTATAGAGAGAGCTGTGGCCCCCCAGTGCCTTGTGTATCAGGAGAACAAAAAAAGTTGTCCAAAGAACTTGATTTGATACTGACATAATTCTTAGTTCTAAGGATTTAACTAATTCACTACAGTATCAATGGAAAGAATATTGAAGGCAGTAATCAAACTGCCTCAAATGAATAAATAACTGAATCTTTTAAAACTTCACCTAGAACAAATTATGTCTAATTAATAAGTTTACCATATATCTCCTTTTTCAAAAGATGTCCAACTGCCATTAGATTTTAACTATACTTTTAATACATTTTTCTGTAGATTTTAACTATAGGTTAAAGATAATTTTTCTGGGAAATATCATCTATGCATGTAATTTCTTCCTATTTTTTCAAAAGATCTTAGCAATAATAAACAAAGTCTTTTTCTAGCTGAATTCAGATTCTGGTTGATTAAGGTATTTATGTAGGTTTCTTTACAATAAAAAATAAACTTTTTATTGCTTGTTTCTTTTTTAAGCCTCCCTATAGCTCTTGACTTTTTTGATAATTCCATGCAAATTACTAGGCCCAAATCTGCTTAATCATTTGAGATCAACAGTGGTTAGCTGGATGCTGCTACCTAGTTGGATTAGCAGTATAAAATATTTGGTTTAAAATGAAGTTGCTGAGCCATGGATTTATATGCTGAGTTAGCAGCATATTAGCCAACACATCTTTTAATATGACAAACAGGACAAGTTCACACATACCACTAAATTATGTATACTTACAAAAAATAAACAATAGGGTTAAGGTTGCGGTAAGATTAAAACTATACCAGCCACAATATGGTTTTGTGCAAATGTGTATTTTGTTCTGATACTGCATTAGTGCTCCCTGTTTAAAATACACTGGCATACCCTATCAGTCCCAAACAAGCTCAGATAAAACCAGGCACTCTGTGAAAGTATTATGTACCATATTTTTTGGAGTATAGGATGCACTCCCCCACCCCCAAAGTGGGTTGAAATGTCTGTGCCTCTTATACAGCAAATGTTGCTGAAGCCCCGCTCACTCACCGGTCCCCACCCTTCGGCTGTTTTCGGTCTCCGCACATTCTATTTTAGACCAGTTCCAGATGGCAGGGATATGCCGCAGCACATCACCACCAATTGCCGTGTTTTCGGTCTCTGCATATCACATTTTTGGCCTCCACACACTCCATTTTAGAGCTGCTCCAGACTCGGGGATTGCCACAGCACATCGTTGCGGATCATCACCTCTGCGTATTGTATTTTTGGTCTCCGCAGTCATGTTTTTGGCTTCCACACATTCCATTTTGGCCACTGTGTTGCGTTTTCAGCTGGTTTTACACGGCAGGGATTGCCGTTGCCTAGTACCAGCCAAAACGCAATGCATGGAGGTGGCGATGGACGGTGGCGATCCCTGCAGTGTGGAAGACTGATTGGCAGTATTCTGGGAGGCCGATCCAACCGCCAATCAGCTGCTTGTGCTGAATGAAGCTGAGATTATGTGCTGAAGCTGAACAGGCTGCTTGCTGCAAGGATACTACCTAGATGAATACCAATGGATGGTGGTAGGCAGAGGCAGATTTTTTTCTCTCCCCAAAAACTAATGTGCATGTTATACTCCAAAAAATACAGGTAATTTCCTTAATATTCATATCTAGTTTTTCCCTTAGCATTAACCTATGGATTTCTAGTTTTAAGACATACCTACATCAATAACGCCTATTGTTGATTTCAAACACTTACATTAGCCCTTTTACTCATAATTAAGCCTACATCTTTACTTTTGTCACAAAATCAGATATTTGTTCAGATCTATTTATCTTAATCTCAAATATATGCAGGTAGTCCTCAACCTAGGACCATAATTTATGTTGCTAAGTGAGAAATTTGTTAAGTGAATTTCCCCCCCTTTTTACAACTTTCCTTGCTGTATTTGTTAAGTGAATCACTGTAGTTGTTAAATTAGTAACACGTTTAAGAGAATCCGCCTTGACTTGGCTTGTTAGATTACAAAAGATGATCACATGACCACGGGACACTGCAACCATCATAAATATGAATCAATTGTCAAGCATCCAAATGCAAATCATGTGACTATGCAGATGCTGCAACTGTCATTAGTAAGAAAAATTGTCATACCACTTTTTTCAGCGCTGTTGTAACTTTGAACTAAATGAACTGTTGTAAGTTGAGGACTACCTGTACTTTTGTCATTTAATTCATGCTTTTCATAATTTACCATTACTGAGGAAATTGTTACTGAGAAATTCCCAGAGATATTGATCTGTGCTGCAGCACGTTATGATACTGGTCATTCAAGACTTTCAAATAACACTTTTGTAAGAGAAAAGATGCAAAGTTAGCAGCCTCCAATGAATTTGTGCCACCTTGTTTCCCTGAAAATAAGATCTGCCCTGGATAATAAGGCCAATCGGACTTTTGAGTCAAAAGAAAATAAGACCCTATCTGGGAAACACGGTACATAGAACATTCCTTGCTAATAACATGCACTGATCAATATTGGCATATTTTGGTCAGAATGTCAACATCAAAACCAAAATCTAGTTTTACCCCAGACATCCTTGTGCTTTAACATGCAAGTAGCATTTCTAGAGACCATCTGGAAACTTGCCAAATTCCTACCTAAGTGTCTAAAAAGTATTCAGGTAGATTTCCATTTACAACCCTTTGGATAATGAGAATTTGAATTAATGTCTATCTCCAAAAGTCAGTTATGTCTTCAAATTGAAACTTTTGACTTTCGCCCTACCCACTGCCCCAAATGGTCATGTAATCACAATCTAGGCACTTGGCAACCAACCTTATGACTATTTGCATCATCATGGCATTTGTGACTTTTGGGGCAGTTTCTGGCAAAACTTGCCATTGGTTAAATTAGATTTATATTTACGACCGCATGATTCAACTTACAACCATGGTAAAAATAATTCTTAAAACTGGGTTAGGTTATATGGTGTCGACTTGCGATGCAGTCTGTTTCCAATTGTTAAGGTTGTCAGGAACTGCCTGCACAGAATATACTGACCCACATCCAGGATGCATCCTTTGCTCCCCAGAATAGTTATTAGCTTTAATTGGATAAATAAAATCTGATATATGAGGTTGTGTTTTAAAAAAACATAATCAAGATTATATATTTAGTATCCTACATAAATTAAACTATAGTTAAAGTCATCAAAAGAAGCCATTTATTTCATTATATGTGTGATTATAGAAATTTATCTGTATTATTTATCAGGCAGTTTCAAAGTTAAGAAGTATCTTTGCAAAAAAACCTGATACTTTTAGATTTTTTTTTACCTCTTTAGAATCGTCTATTCTTTCAAAGTAAACAAATGCAAATCCTCTTGATCGCCCAGTCCGCTGATCATACACAACATTGACTCCACTCAATGGCCCGTAACGGGAAAAGACTTCTCGAAGATCCCTCTCAGTAGTATATAAGCTGAGGCCAAACACTCCAACACATGTATTAGGATCTGGATTAGCCTAAAATGTACCAAGTTAAAATATTAAGTATCTTCTTACTGACAGTTAAACCAGTTACAGACAGTTCTTGACTTATGATCATAATTAAACCCAACATTTCCATTGCTAAGCAAGACAGTTAAGTGAGTTTTGCCCCATTTAATGATCTTTCTTGCTACTGCTGTTAATTTAATCATTGCAGTTTAGTAAGTAACACAATTGTTAAGTGAATCAGATTACCCCACTGACTCTATTTGCCAAAGATTACAGGTGATCACATAACGCTGGGGTCACTGCAATAAACTGCTTAACATTTGCCAAACATTCAAATTTTGATCACATGACCGCAGGGATGTTGCAATGGTCATGTGACAAATTGTCATACTTTTTCAAGTGCCACTGTAACTTCAAGCAGTCACTAAACAAATGGCTGTCAACTGAGGAGACTTTATACTTAGTCTTGCCCAGAAACAGTGATAGCAAAATATTTCAAGAAGTTGCATACTGAGTAGCATATAAACAGAACAGAAATATTCTGTTTAATCCATCACTGAATCAAATTTCTTTAAAAAGACAATTTCATTCAAATTATTAGAGGTATAAGAAAGGAATCTACTGTGAAGTGAGCTATGTATTAATCTTCCTCATCTCATCATATCGTTCTGATTTTAAACATTTTATCCAGTACTTTAAATTATGCTATTTAAATATCTCCTAAGGAAAGGCTTTAAACTTGTACTCTCCATAGCTAATCCAATTCTCAAAAGAAATATTAGTATAGTTTTTCAGCAGAAATTTTAGAAGCAAGCTGCTTTGGTTCCTTAATTTCTTCTACCCAGCTACCACTCCTTTTCTCACTGTTTCTAATTCACACCTTATTGCAAACAAGAGAAATAAAGGACAAGTTTAAGTAGCAAAATACACATTTACTTTTTGGGGAACTTCTGGTAGCTAAGATGAAAGTAACTGTGTCTGTAAAGCAGAAAATGTAAAGATTTATCTTTTTTTCTTGAATACAGAAACTGTGTTACAGCCAGCCAACTTAAAGTGATAAAAAAAAAACACCATAATATTCCTACAAGCTTACACTACATACTCTGCTGCCAGTGTGCCTTCTTCGGTTGGACATAGGAGAGTGGCTTCGACTCCTTCGACGCCGATATTCTGGGGTATATGATTTACTCCGTGATCGCCGCCTGTGAGAATGGGATCTAGAGCGAGTATATCGCCTGTGAGAATGTCTTCTGGATCTAGATCTATGGTAAAAATAAAGTTCCATATAAAAACTTCAATAACCCATGAAAATTAGCATTAAAAGTTATTAATCAAAATTTAAAACAACTGAATTCATTTATATAACTGATAAAAAATTAAGACATTAATTCAAAACATGGGCAACTTATGGAATAAGATCTTGCACCTGACATGCTGTTAAGATGCTGGAGTTACATATCAAAGAAATATCTTAAAGTAATTCTAAGCCTCACTTATCCCAAAACAGATTTGTTATTTTTTTTAAAGGCAAAGAAATGAAGTAATACTACAAGTCTTAATATTCTAAACTGAAGCAGTGAATTGCAGAAAGACTCCCAAAGCTACATGACCACTGCCACCCTATTCTAGGTGGTGTGAAATGAGCAGAAATTTGTGTATTTTTATTTGAGACACAAATTTGTCATGTAAATCTTTTAACTTCCGTTCAAATAGTCTTTATATATTCTTATAGAAATATTTTCATATTTTTCATAACTACGTGTAGCAATGAATTTAAATGGCTTACCTGTATTTCTACATTTGCATGTGTATATTTACATATTGTTAAAATACGTCACAATTGCTTGAAAACATGCACAGGACAACTATTCAGATAGGTTCTACAATATCACATTACCACCTTTTTATTTTTGTTATTATCACTATATGATTACTTACGAAGTTTCTGGGCATTTTTCAAGCCCTGACAAAAATCTTAGTTCTATAATGTCTAAATTTTCCAGTGAAAGATCCAACCAACAAGTGTACAAATAAAGTTTAACATATTCAAGTTTTTAATAAACATAACATACCTGGATTTTGATCTTGATTGTGAGTGTGATTCTGAATGTTTAGAAGCTCTTGATGGGCTACGAGATCCTGACCTGCTCTCAGATTTTGCACGAGCAGGACTCGCAGCTGCAGATTTTGACTGGGAGCGTGATTCCTACCGAAAAAAGCAGTATTACAAATGGTATTGGTTGCACAAATGCCTACCTTCTTATGTTAAAAGTAACTATATTTTATTGATTGTGCCTGAAAAATAAAGGTTAGGCGATACCCTCTAGGGCAAGGTTCTCTTTAACCCACTATTAACATTGTTCAATTTCCTCAAATAATTCCCTACATGAACCAGATGACCAATGTTCTATTAACTAAGTAATCATGCAAATTCATCTCTAACTTGATCATACAGACACTGGAACATAAACCATACATTTACTTAACCTAGGACCCATTCATTCTTCCAGATTCTTTTAATGCTACTTCACTCTTGCTTTCTACTTTTCTTCATTCTTCATTGAGTTTTTCATTTTTCATACTTCGTGTATTCTTCCCCAATTCAAACAATTCATTATAGCCTTAAAAATATTCAAGTGCTTCTATCTGACCAATCTTCTGTTCAATTTTTTCCCCCATTCAATTTTAATTTTCTGATCTTTAACATTTTTCATTAGCCTTCTTTTATCTTGATTTATCTTCCACATTCTTGGAAAAAACTCTTCCATTTCTTCACGAACATTAACCTTAATGGAAAAAGAACATTTAGTATATTTAAGCATGTGGGGATTATAAAACCCTGCTGGATTTCAGAACTTTATCGACTAAAATGGAATAGCCAGCAGGTGAAAAGCAAATAACTAGTTTATAAAAGCAATTAAAAATATTTTAACTGATATAATCATATAGGCTCTACTAATGAGTCCACGATTCCCTTGCAGTGTTTCCCAAATATTGTATACCTATTCTGTTCCCTAACTTCAGTAACTTTCAAGTCTGTAATATTTATCCAATTTGTATTTATATATATATAAACACACACACACAAACACACATTCTTAAACACACACTTGCCTGTAGTTTAAAAAGGTAAGTAAACGTATAGGCAAAGATTAAAAGAATTACAATAGTATATCCATTAACACAAATACAAATAATAAAGTGTCTTGACTTTATTATTTTGCTTTTTAAACAGAAATATTGCGCAACTTAGTACAAATTTGGTTCTAAAATACATATTAAGTGCTGGTTATTCAAGTCCCAAACTGTACTGAAAATGCAAATTTGATTTACTTCTTTGAATCTGAGCCATCGAAGCTACCTTTGATATATAAATCTCATAATTCATGTCTATCATTAAGTGTGATTATTTTATTCAAGTTACAAATACTTGTACAGTAAAATAAAAACAAAACAACTATTTGCTAATATCACTATGGTTTTATAGTTCGGGTAATGGGTTAACTGCTTGACTAGATGTCTACTTTGTATATGAGAATATATTAGGCAAGGCAATATAGAAACAGCAAACTTTGGGCATGTATATTATATGTATCTAAATGAGGTAATCATTTGTTCTCCCAAACTAAAGTATCAAGCAGGTACTTTACTCTTGAATTACTCTCAAATTTACTTAATTCAAAAGCTGATTTGAAAAGGGGCCCATTTTTTCCCAAAAGTTAAAAATGTTCATTTTATTGTCTCTCAGATTTTTCCTATCATTTTAAAAATACAGTACTGAATAAAGTTGCAAAAATCTCAAACATTTTGCACTTTTAGCAAGGATCTGCAAATGCTTCATGGCTTTTGTAAAATTCAATTTTTATGTACTCTACAGGTACATAAAAGTACTCTACAGTACCTTCCCACAATTAACTATTATGTAATCTAACCGCTTAAGAAAAACTTCTAAAAACAAAAGATTTTTAATGGCAAAAAAATGGGTAATATAAAACTTGAAAATGCATAAGACCATAGATAATGGTAGATAGCTTACTACAAGGAACTACAGATAGGTCACAACTTACAACAACAACTGAGCCAAAAATTTTCGTGCTAAGTGAGACATTTGTTAAGAGAATTTTGCCCCATTTTACGACCTTTCTTGCCACAGTTGTTAAGTAAATCACTGCAATTAAGTTAATGATATGATTGTTAAACGAACAATTGACAATATCTCATATAATTACTAACAAATAATTTCAATTTACCAGATTGAGATACCAGATAATTTTAAGGACTAATTATTTCTAAATAGTGAACTGCATATAAAACGAATTAGTTTTCTTTACTTGCTCAACTGGACTTATACATAGAGATTAGTTACATTGTTACATGACTAAAATTTCAGAGACTGCAGTTTATTAACACTGATGGAGCGACTTAAATTACTACCACTGTTAATTTTAATATTAATTCTAAAATCTCCATTTCTGTACTATATTGATATGAATAGAAAAGTCAGATATAAATCAAATATGTAATATACATTATAATTCTAGTCTGAGAGCCAGTTTGGGGGAATTGTTAAAGCTCAAGATTACAAACTGGGAGACCATGAGTTCTAGTCCTGCCCTGGCCAACCACTTTTAAAAAACCTTTGTGAGAAAATGCAGGGACTTGTCCAGTTTTTGAGAAATGGGCACAACTGAATAATAGATGGAAAAAAATTACATATCCAAGGCTCACTATCAACACTTAAGAAAAACAATGAAATAGTTATATTAAGTATTTTTAAATGTATTAATGTAGGTTTAAATGTACATCATGACTGATTGATATAGATGCCTATTAGTGTAGAACAACTTTGGAAAGAGTAGACAAGCTGCCTTGCCTTGATGCGATTTCCACTTAAATCTTTTTGAAATTATATCCTGATCAATGCATTTAAAAATATCTAGTTTTAATACAGAGACATCTTTTTCAAGTGAGATGACTACTGTATCTTTCACATAAATGATCTTTCTAATTTAAAAATATATATTGCACAACTGTATTGGTCATTTTTAGAACAAAAAAATTACATTGAAAAAGAATATTTTCCCAATTTCCAGATCTATTATATACTCTTGAAATTTCCCAGTAACCCCCTTATCTTTGTAAGCGTTTGAGATTGACCAATGTCAACATCAAAAACACACTAATATTAGAAGGCAACCCGATTTTATAATCTGCATTTATATTATCATGACTGCATTTTGTCCAACTCACAACTGACACACCTTTGTGACAGATTGCAGTGTTCTGCAATTTAATACTTTTTGCTAGAAGCATGCTTTCTTGGACAGTTTTTGGCAAAAACTGCCAAACATGAATGCACTGACTCTCTTAATGACTGCTGCATAAAAGGTCACAAAATTAGGTCAATCATATGTGCCTCTCAACTTATGACTGCCATGATTTACAATGGAAATTCCAGGCTCCATTATGATCTTGTTAAGGACTATTTGTACATAAAATCAAAAATATTAAACAATATTTCTTAATATATTTATATTATAAAAATAAGAACAATTTTACAGGGAAACCATAAAATTTAAATAGCTAAATAGGGACTTGTTACCTTCTCAAATTTGTTACCTTCTCAAAAATGCAATGAGCAACTCAATTTCTCCAGATTTTTAAATCTTAAGAGAGTGGTGTGGATCTTTCAGCTTTATGAGGTCTACCTCAGATATAAACATAAAGGGAAGGCTAGTATGAACCTCAAGAAACTCAGATAAGCTGGTCTAAGAAAATAGCAGTGGTTTCTATGTTAGGTGGGCCATTCTTAAAAGTATGAAATAAAGCCACCTTATGTGGCTTTTTGCACAAGAAGCTAAGTTAAAATAAATGTATTAGAATTTTCTCAGGGAGAATGTAAAATAAAACCGAGAGAAAATCTGACATGGACATACTTCCACTTATAATCACAATTGAGTCTGACTGGACTTTAGAGAGTATATGGTAGCCCTCAACTTATGACAATTGAGCCAAAATTTCTGTTGCTAAGTGAGATATTTGTTGTGAGTTTTACTTTTCTTGCCACAGTTGTTAAGGGAATCATTGCAGTTGGTAAGTTAGTGGCACAGTTAGGAAGTAAAACTGGTGTCCACATTGACTTTGTCAGAAGATTGCAAAAGGTGAACACATGATCCCTGGACACTACAACCATTATAAATATGAGTCTGTTGCCAAGCATCTGAATGTTGATCATGTGATCATGGTGATGCTGCAATGATCCTAAGTGTGAAAAAATGGTCATAAATCACTTTTTTCAATGACGTGGTAACTTTGAACTGTCACTAAATGAAAACTGTTGTAAGCAGTTGGCTACCTGAAGGTATCACCTGAATTAAGCCAAGCAGTTCAGTGGTAGCTAATGCAGGGCATTTCTTATTAAGGGAAGTATATCTCAGCAAAACATAACCAAAAAGCTACTTCAATACCATTTTTAAGTAACAAAGAGGATTTTATTGCACCCAGATTCTTAAATCTAATTACACTGGGTAATTTATTCTTTTAATATAGCTACACTATACACTTCTATCTTGCCTAGTTTCATTTTTTTTCATTTCTTCACAACTTCCAGCGGCTGCTTCAATATTAAGATAAGTGTTCCTAACTTTTGCACAGAAAATCAAACAATAATCCTAAATATATTGAAAAAGCCTATCACAGTTTTATATTTGGTTTGGTTGTTTTTCAAGATTTAAAATATGTGAGAATAAGCTTTATGAAACATCATTATTAGATCCAAATGAACATTAATTGTAAAGGCTGAAATATATTCTTATACAAGGATAGGATTTGCACTGAATCACACACTTCAATTATGATTTTTGAGAAAAGTAGTAATAAGATATGTCAGGTTTTTAAAAAAATGGGTTTTCCCAAATTTATAAGGTAGGAAAGGAACGAAATGATCTCAAAAGTTTTTTAAATACTGTATTAGAATACATACACACACACATACATACACACAAATCTAAATATAAAAATAATGTTAACATTCTTCCCAGACATTTTTAAAAATATGCTACTATACTCTCTATATAAAATTTAGAAATCCTTTCAATAATTAAATAATGACTGATAAGTTATTTAAGATAGTGCAAACCTAGAATTGGAACAGTGGCAAGTAGCTTCTAATTAACTCTTTTCATTATTACTGCCCACAATAATGCAGAAAATATCCACTAATACCATACCTTAAATATCTTATCATAACAAAATGTTGACTCTGTCTTCTGTTGTAAACCTAATAAATCATGCTGGAAGCTTAACAGCATTTTTACCTGAAAAAAACCTGACGCCATTTTCATCGTATTATTAGAAACGATCCTCAACTCTCTTCCAGGACAAGTGGGCTTCTTTACAGCCGGCCCTCCCACATTTCTCTGTGTATGGGGTGGTCCCTTCCCACCAGCCCCGCATACTTTCTCTTTGGATTTACTGGGAGGGGGGATATGTTTGCTACAGTGAAAAGGGGGGTTTAAAACGATAGGGAATGAAATAACTTTCAAAATGGCAATAAAATAAAATAGGGACAGGGCAAACGGTTAAAAAACCCGAGGGGGCGCCGGAACCCAAGTCCATTAAAGGGATGAGGGATGGCGCCAAAAGAGGAGTCTGGATCACGGTTTGTTAAGTCCGAGGATCCTTGGTCCGGAAGGCGGTAAAGCAGGGCCCGGAGTCGAAACAGCCAACGGGAGCACGGTCCCTGCGGGCGGAATGCAGCGTAGCCCCACCTCGGAAGAAGGAACCATTTTGGTAAGGAACAACGAAGTCTCTCAGGATGACTCCGCCCCGCTCAGCGCCCGATTCGGAGGCTCCTTTTTTCCCCCTCCTCCTCCTCCTCTTCGCCCACTTCTCGGCCTCAGGGCCAGGCCAGGCCTCCGACACCTCGGCCCGAACAGAAACCGCTCACTACTCACCCTCGCCTCGAAGTTATTCTCCTCCGCGTCGCTCATGCTGGCGCGTGTCTGAGGCGGCAGGTGGCCAAACAAGTGGGAATCCAAAGGAGGGAGCGCCGAGCCCCGAATTTCTCCTGCCCCTGCCTCCAATTACCTAACTTCTACGCTGCGGCGACGGCAACGCAAAATGGCGCTTCAGTCACTAAGGTCTGCGCTCGACACTCAGGGAAGGGGAGGGGCTCCTGGTGCCACGCCCAGATATGCCACAATGTGAGCATCTGCGCCGCAAGGAACTACGCGCCGGTAGTAGGCTGGGCGGAGTAACACACACGCGCAGTTTTTTTGGGTCTAGGCTTTGCACGTGTTTTCCGGGAATGTTTGACGTGGATTGCAATAGCATAGAAGTCATACTTCTTTTTTGTGGTCCCTATTCGTTACTTTTATTTAATTTATATGTTCACCCAACTGACTCTGGACAGTTTACAATTGAATAGAAACATAAAGACGGAGAACGAAATCCAACCACTATTCATTACGTAAAAACAGACTAAAAGAGCACTGGCTGCTGTAGTACAGGTAATCCTCGACTTACAACCGTTTATTTAGTGACTAAAGTTGCAAGGGCATTGAAAAAATGTGACATGACCATTTTTCACACTTATGATCTATGCAGCCGCCCCATGATCATGTGATCATAATTCAGATGCTTGGCAACTGATTCATCACTTTGCTAAACAAATAATTCCCTCAACACTGTCAAACTATTTACCAAATCTGCATTACTATTAATCTTTTTGTGGTTCCTATCACCCATTTCCTTCCACTTATGATTACTTGACTGTAACTTTGTTGCTTGTATCCTTACGATTTATATTGATTGTTTCCTAGTATGATTTGATTGCTTATTTGTACCCCATGACTATCATTAAGGATTGTACCTTATGATTCATGACAAATGTATCTTTCCTTTTATGTACACTGAGAGCATATGCACCGAAGACTAATTCCCTGTGTGTCCAATCACACTTGCCAATAAAGAATTCTATTCTATTCTATATTTAAGACATGTGTGCCTGAAAATCATGGGGTCACCTTTTGTGACCTTTTGACAAACAAAGTCAATGGAGGAAGTCAGATACACTTAACAACTAACATCAGCTTTATAACTGTGGTAAGAAAAGTCATAAAATGGGGCGAAATAACAAATAGCTCACTTAACAACAGAATTTTTGGGTCTCAATCGTGGTTGTAAGTTGAGGATTACCTGTAATTGCTGGGAAAGCTAGATACCCTTATTACCAAGATTATGCATCAGAATACTTTAGCATATAAACTAGGTCAATAAGGATAGGTTGGGATGTTGCTCATAGCCTTGATCTTAATTCGGATCCTCATACACTCATAGTAACTTCTGGGATCATGGCTAAAGAGGTATTGATTAAAACTTATTTCAGAAGAGGATATCTTCACCTGTCTCACTGCTAATGTTAATGCTCTTGGTGAATCTAGAATCAAATATTTTATTAATATAATTTATTTATGGTTCAAGACCCCTTTTGACGTTTGGTCAGTTATGTTCACTTTAGCCCAGTTAACCAATTTATGCAATTCAGTTCTCCGGGTTTGTACAACTCACTACACCAGGGGTGTCAAACATGTGGCCTCTTGGCCAGATTCGTCACCTGTTGGCTCCTCCCCCGCCCACTTTAGCAAAGGGGAAAAAACGTCCCTCAGAGAGGGTTCGCAATTTGGGAGTCCTCCTGGATCCTCAGCTGACTTTTGAACACCATTTGTCAGCTGTGACCAGGGGGACCTTTGCCCAGGTTCGCCTGGTGCACCAATTGCGACCCTACCTGGATCGGGAGGCCCTTCAGACAGTCACTCACGCCCTTGTGACCTCAAGACTGGATTATTGTAATGCGCTCTACATGGGGCTGCCCTTGAAAAGTGTTCGAAGACTCCAGATGGTCCAGAACGCAGCCCCGCGAGCGATTGTGGGTGCACCCAGGTACACCCACGTTACACCTATCCTCCGTGAGCTGCACTGGTTACCCATTAGTCTCCGGATCCGCTTCAAGGCGCTGGTTGTTACCTATAAAGCCCTTCGTGGTATCGGACCTGGGTACCTGAGAGACCGCCTCCTGCCGATCACCTCCCATAGACCGATTCGATCACACGGGTTAGGTCTCCTCCGGATTCCATCTGCCAGCCAATGTCGACTGGCGACTCCCCGGGGGAGAGCCTTCTCTGTTGCAGCTCCAGCCCTCTGGAACGATCTCCCCGTGGAGATCCGGATCCTTACTACCCTCCCGGCCTTCCGCAAAGCTGTTAAGTCCTGGCTGCTCCAGCAGGCCGGGGGGCCCTCGATATATCCAGCCCCCCGGAGATTGTGATTGTTGTATATTTTAATGTTGTTTGTGTATTATTCCCCCCTCCCTTGTTTTATTGTAAACCGCCCGGAGTCCTTCGGGAGTGGGCAGCATACAAATCAATAAAACTATAAACTAACTCCCAATACATCACATGATGACATGAGAACACTATAAACTAATCATACACAAGCTGGATTTATATAATGGAGTAGACTAAAATATGGGTGGTTAGTTCAATGTTTCAGGCAAACAAAGACTATTGGGAGGTGAGATAAATCTAATTAATTGCAATTAAGCTAGCAGAATTTTATTAGGCTCATCATAGAATCATGGAAGGAAAGGGGTCATATGTGTCATTCATCAAACCTCCCACTTTATATAAGAATCTGAATTAAAGCATCTCAGATGGGGCCGCATACTCTACTTGAACTCAATTCATGGGTCTAGTTTTTGGTTCAATATTCAATCCAATAAACTGAAATTAAGTAAATCTCGGTTAAGCTATGATAATCATGTGTTTGAACACACACAACCAGTCTCTGTGCAGTTTATCTTTCTAAATAACTTTGTCCACTTTTGAAGTGTTTTGTTTGTTCATATACTATAGAAAACGCCGAAAAGATAAAAAATAGATAAAAATTGCTAAAAAATTTAAATGCTAAGGTAGTTTACCCAGTAAATGTACTGCAAAACAATAATGTACTATAGTAAATAAACGTACTTTTAACATTAGGAGTAAAAATCAACATTTCAAACGTGCGGCTTCCGTTGCCTTTCTTTTGCTCCACCCCGCTTATGGTAATTTTACCCTTTTTCCACCAGCAGCCGGAAGTGCGGCCTGGATATGATTCAGTTGCTGTTTTATCTTTACGCTGCGCAGGTAGGAGGTGCTGACTGAAATCTATGCCGGGGTAAGGGGACGCTTGCTCTCTGTGTGTGGTACCGCTGGCAGGATGTGCGAGGTTTGATGGTAACTTATCACTCGCACTTAGGTTTAGAGAACACATCTGGGGGAAGGAGAGAAAGAGATCGAGTGCCGGAAGGGCGGACAGGGTTGTAGTGACTGACCGCCGCCAGTTTTTCCTGTGCCGTAACACCCATGGAGAGAGAAGAAATCTGATAGGCGACGAATGGATTTGTGTGAGTCGCTTGGTGAAAAACATCTGTGTTTCTAAGGCACGATTCGGGGCGTGTATGTTAGCAGGACATACTGACACAGAAACGAGCAAGCCAAGTTCTAACCTAGCGTCTGGCGCGAACTCAATTCGTGCGTCTTGGTTCAATATGCAATCCAATAAATGGGTTAAGTAGATCACGGTTAAGATATGACAATTACGTGTGTGAACACACGCAACCGTAGTCTTTGTTTTCTGAAATACCATGGCGATTTTGCACGTTCTTGTAAAAGTTGTTTTCTTGATAGCTTTCCTGAAATAAGATATTAGTATTTCACTTCCTTGCTCCTTGAATCTTCTTGTGCCTTCAGTTAAGCTTCCTCGGGCTTATCTACATTGCAGATTTTGAAATAAATATAGATTGTGAACAGGTTTTCTTTTTGTGAAAGACCTCTTCCTCGTGGTAGATTTAATTTTACATGGTAACATTTTTAAAAGCATTATGTTGTATTAGTACTTGAGTTTAACTTGATTGAACATATGTAATTGTATAAAGTTAAATGTTATTTTATGATCTCAATGGAACATGTGAACTTAGATGGATACTAACCTGCTCTCAGATTTTAAATTATTTAAATTTAATAGTGTTTGCTGCTTCTTAAAATAATTTTCTATGTGATTACCAATAGGAAAATTGGTGTCTTTCTGTTGATGCAAAGATATCCATTGCAAAGGTCTTTTCTATTTAATTTTGATAATATACAAATAACTTATTGCATACAAATACTATTGTACGGTGAATAATGTATTTGCATTTTGAGAGAGTCTCATAAAGACCCAAAGATCCCCTATCAAATAGCTTTGTGTAAATCCGAACTTTACATATAATCCTTATTTTTTTCTTGCTTGTATCTTGCTGAAGAAAACAAGAATTTTGAGAGAATTGTTTCTTATAAACTAGTATACATTGGGGTTTGGGCAGTTTGGAATATATGATTTTTATGTTTTGTAATCTTTAATATCTTTTTCCTGGTTATACTTAGAGGATTATACAATCTATGTTTGAAGTGCCAACATGCCTTTTAAAATTTCTTCTCATGCCCAGATTTATAACAATAATAACCTGAGAAAGTTTATATTTTTTAAAATTCTTTTTCCTCAGATGTTTCTCCCTCTCCTAAATGGTTCTGAAAAATAAGAACTGCATTAGACTGACTAAATACAACAGATTAAATAATCCTTGAGTTTACTCAAAATGATATTGAACTGAGTATGGAGGCAAGTGTTGTCTTAGAATATTGGTTATTGAGGACATTTAGCTCCAACTAAAGCAGCAGGATTATAAAATGGTAGGTGTTCCTAATTTATTATCTTGAAAAGTACTTATTTTATGTATTGGCAATATGCAACCTTTGCAATATGCAATATTAATCTGCTGTGGAAAACTGTCTGATAAAACACTGTTTAGCTGTAATTCCTACATAAGCAGTTATGGGTTGTTGTTTTCTCTAATGGAGCTTATTCTAAAGCAGGTCTGTCAAATTGGTGGCCCGCGGGCGGGATGCAGCCCTCACAGGCCACACCCACTCTGGCTCTGCAAAGGCAAAAAACATAACGATATATCACGATACAGCCCGTGATGTGAGTGGGTTTGACACCCCTGTTGTAAAGAGTCTGAATGTAGCTTCTGTTTTCTCTCACTGTTAACCAAACTTCCTGGGGTTTGGGGGTCTGAAATACAAAACCTTTAGGGAACTCACAAATGTCTCACTTGCAGATAGTTTACAGGTAGACCCTGTTTAACAACTCTTACTGGGATCGGAATGTACATCCCTAAGCAAAACAGTTGTTCGGTGAAACATCATGTTATTACACTGCTTAGTAGCAGCAATTCCAATACTCCTGGTTGCAATTGTTAGGTGAGGACCTCATGTTACTCCTGTCATTCCATGCTGACCTCTTCTTCAACTCTTCCCAGCCGCTACCTTCCCCACCTCGGCCCTTTTGGCTGCCCTGCACTCCGCTGCATTGGCTGCCACTTCCACCTGACCTTTGCCATCTTCCTCCTGCCATTGATGAGATGCTTCTGGCTGAGGCAGCTGTTAGTCCTTAGAAGACATTGTTAAAGAACAGCAGCTGCCTTGGTCAAGCATACCTCTTCAGCAGCATGAATAAAAAAATGGCAGTCAGTTGCGGCAAACTGGTAGGTGAGGGTGGCAGGGTACAGGACAGCCAAAAGGACAAAGGTGAGGGGGAGACAGGTGAGTGGAGAAGATTGATGTGCACACTGCAGCCATAAATGCGGGTGGACTGCTAAGTACACAAATTTAGATCATGAGACCACAAGAATGTTACAAATGCTATATTTTCGGCAGCCACTTATTACTATCATTTATTCAGCACTCTTGTAACTTCAAATGGTTGCTGAATGAATGACTGTTAAGTGAATAGTTAGTATTTCTGATATAGTTAGTATTTAATCAATATTTTTCCAGCAATCTTTTTAGATAATGGAATTGGAATTCTTGATAATAATGGAACTGTTTTCATAGTACAGATGTAAAGCTGAAGTAGAGAGATTAAAACTTACACAAAGGCACCAACTAGTTCATCACTGAATGGATATTTGTACCATGGATTTCCAATTCATGTTAATATTGCTATTGTATACAATTATAGTTTGGAAAGTTATTAGATTTTTGTTCTTATATTGCCTGTATTTTCAGCAGTCATTTTATAGGGTTTCCAATAATAATGCTCTAAATTATATAACACATTCCAAATTAATACTGTAGTTTATAAAAAATAAAAAATTTTGACACAAGTTTTTTGATAAAAAATTTCAGGAAACAAATGGAAAAATTAGACAAAATAGTCTCCCCTGAAGACCAAGCATGCTGTGAAGATGTTTTGCAAAACAACTTACCTTGAAGATACTGTGACTTCACACTTACTACCTTCTACTGACATATTTAGCCTGCTCAGAAATGTTTTTTGCATTTTCTAGAAAAAATGTGTCCCAAAAATTGAGTTTATTATTGCTAGTTTTTGGTTTTATCTGGGGCATAATGTTACTGCGCTACACCTTTCAGCATCCAAGACAACAGAGCAGTGCTGAATTGCGTGAACAAATTCTTGACTTAAGTAAAAGATATGTTAGAGCCTTAGCAGAAGAAAACAAGAATGTAATAAATGGTGATAATGGAGTTGCAATGGCGGGATATGGTAAGCCTACATAATCTCTGTAAATTCATCCTCACTTTAGTTTTTCAAAATATATAAAGCATAAGAAGTTTTTATATTTATAAAGTGGAACTAATATTTGCTACATATTCAGTGTTCTACTGAAATTGAACACTGTATAATAGTTTTCATTTGCAAGAAATATTAGACGTTCTTAATATTAAAGAGCTGATATACTGGCATTGGATATGGTATGTCTAGAAACATTTTGCTTTGAATAATATAGGTTTTTGTCTAATACTAGAAATGCAAAATTTCCAGAATTTTCAAAACAATGGAGGAGTTGGAGAAATTTAAATTTTTTTTTACTGATTACATAGAAAAATGACTTTCAGTATATTGTTATGAAGATATATTACAGAGGTAGATTAGATAAGTAAATTGTTTATTTAGACAACTATAAATATATTCAGTATTTTTAGTTTTTGTTACAAATGAAATTTTAGATTGTTATGCTCTAAGGAGTATCACATTTACTTAATCTGTTTAACAAAAGCAAAGAAAAAAAATTAAAACTGAAAAATAGAACATCAACAGTACATTAAAAAGTTTGCATATGCTGTATTTTTTCCATTACATTAAACAGATACAAAAAAATTATACCCAGACAAACAATGAGAAAATAACTATTTTCTCACATGACATTTTTCCTGTGCAGTGTCACTTTCTGAATATATTTTTTTGTTCCCTCTAGCTGATCTGAAAAGAACAATTGCAGTTCTTCTAGATGACATCTTGCAACGCTTGGTCAAACTAGAAAACAAGGTTGATTATATGGTTGTAAATGGTTCAACAACAAATACTACAAATGGGAACTTAATGCCATCAACTACAATCAAAAGAGTAAATGCAGCACACAATATAAGATAATAATCAAAATACTTTGCACAGGTGGAACGGTTTTGATCTAATTTTTCTTCAGGAAAGAAACAAACTGTTGGCTAAAGGCAATCTATATCCAGTTGCAGCAGAAAAAAATGAACATGTAGAGACCCAATATCTTTACCTAAAAATCTTTGTGTTAAAAAAGTTGCTTCATAAAGCAACATTTGCACTGTAACTTTTAAAAAGGTGTATTGGTAGTAAAACTATTGTAGGAAAGTAAGTAACACACACACGATCAAAAATCAAGCTACCCAGAACATTCCCTCAAAACAAAAAGAAAAAAAATAAGTCTAATAATAGAAAGGAAAAAAACAAAGAAATTGATGGAATGAATTGCAAACAATAATTACAGCAATAGGCGAACCAGCAGAAATTTTCTATATGAAAACCAAATCTTAGAGCAATCATTTCTAGGAAGTGATCTCTTAGTAAAAGAAAACATTTTCTTCTAAGGTTGCCATTTGACAGTAACAAGGAATTTTGCTCTCTGCCTTATGGAGAACCTGCTCTTACAAACTGAGCAGCTGCCTAGCCTTTTGGCAGCTTCCCGCTCACGAATGGTACAAAGTTGGGATCCCGCAACTCTAACACGAGCTCTAAATTGGGGGCACTTCTTTCGACAACTTCACAGCCGTCTTCGAGCTCAACCAACCCTCCGGGAAGCTTTGAAACAACAGCTGAAAAAAAAAGGTTTAGTCAGGTTAAGTCACTTGAAACGCTGCCCAGAGCTTCTGGGTTTGGCATTGCTGGAAAATCCGGCATTATCTTCTACCACCCGCCATAGCCTTTTCTGCAGCTTCTTGATCCCAGCAACTGATGGAGCAGAGTCCTTCATCAATCTACTGGCAAGGCGTAGAGCTGCCTCTCAAATTCTTGGTCTCTTGGACTCTCCTATAAAAGGAACAGCTGCTATTGAACAATGGGAAGGGCTGCCAGTGAGAGTACAGGCTCAGATGCTGCTTTCACAGCTACAAGGTGACAGAGATGGTGATGGGAACCAAGGTCGATCTTCCTCGGCCTTGTTAGACTGTTTGCCCTGTGGTTCCATGCTATACAGAGTTGTGGCTGCAGCATTGATGGAGCCTGGTTGGGAAATGGAGGCCAAGGTGTTGCTCCTCCCTTGGTTGCTGTTCGGAGACCCAGCTCGTCTCTCGTCCTTCTGCCGCTTTTTGTCTCCCCGATGTTTGGCTTCACTTTGTGCCCATTACTCTGAATTACTTGCTTCCTATTTGAGTTTCCTCTCAGCCTGGGGAAACTGCCTCAGTTATGATCCTCTGCATGGGAAATGGCAAACTAGTGGTCTAATAGAAAATGAAGTATCTTGGGAGGAGATGCAGAACCGTGTCAGTTGCCTTTACCAGGAGCCAGAGCCTCTGAGTAGTGCAGTCCAGACTTGGTTAAGACAGCTCAAGGCCCAGGATGGGAACTTTGAAGTCAGAGGTCTGAGCATTTGGAATGATCTTTTGCTGGAGATGGAGATGCCTCATTTTGAAAGGAAACTTAACTCACGCTAATTAAAGATGTTGAGTAGAAAAGTGTAGGTATTATACAAATCAAGTAGAAAATTCTATGATAGTTACAGAAAGGGTATAGATTTAATATCTAAAGAAATTTAAATAGAAAATTGGCTTGATCTTATGAACTGGTTTACAATCCATAGTGAAGAAGGAATACCTTTAAAGTGAGCTGTGTTCAGTATAGATAGGTTAAATATTTTAAAATTAGTAGGCAGTTTTTTGTTCCAATTGAAATTTGTTCCATCTCACAGATGGTGGTCCAAAGAGTGTCTTCTTTTTGCACTGTGAAATAGCTTGAGAAAGAATGTTTTAAAAATAGTTACACTTGATAAAATCTAAAGTAGCAATGTGCCAAAGTGTAATCTTGCTACAGAACTAAGGCAGTTGATTAAAAAATAGTAATGTATATAGCTATTCCAGAAACATTTAATACATGTATTTAGTAACTGAAGATATAACCTGTGATGAAGTCACATTAATTGGATGTAGAACACTATTAGCGTCTTATTCATTGCTTTCCTATTCAATATATTTTGCAGCCAATGATTCATGGGGCATACTGCATCTTAAGTTACTCCTGAAATAAAAACAAGAGGAATGGGTCGAACTTTGGTTATGGGAAGCGAGGCATTTTGATGTTTATTGAAAATCTATGATAAAGCAGTACAGTCTGTTATGCACACAATTCCTGTGAAGCAGTAATAACTGGGTTTGCAACCAGGGTCTTTTCAAATGAACTTGAAATGGGAACAGAGAGGTCAGCATTGCCTTATATCCATGTTAGCCTTATAGTGGAGAATTGTGGTGAAGGTGCTCTATAGTACAGTCTACATTCTGCATCATAAATTATAAAATGAAGTGCCAGTTTGGGTTTTGCACCTATATAGAATGATTTGTAAAAGGATTGTTCTGCTATTTTTTCTTAGAATATGCTATGTGGTTTAAAAAATATTTAGAAAAAGAACAAGATTTGTGGTTCTAGATATACAGCTTCAGATGACTTCCTTTTCACATGACTGTAATATCTGGAAAGATTAAATAAAATATATGACTGGTACGAGTCCCTATTGATCTTTTCACTTACTTTTTCAAAAGTTTTTATTAGTTTTTTATGGTAATACTGTAAAGTAACATATCCAGTTATTAGTATTGCTTTAATATTTATCTTATAAATAAAACAGGAAGCAAGTTTGGTTTAGGATTAAGGCATCAAGTAAAAAGCAGGAATCTCTGAGTTCTAGTCCTAGATAGCTGGGAAGTCTTGTGCTAATTCCTTTCTTTCAGCCTTGCCAGGGATGCAGCCAAGCAGTCAACACTGACTTAAAGAAAAAAAAATAACAATAGAATGAAGGGAGATCCTATGCTTACTTAGTTCTAAGTATATTTCACTACAATTTGTGTTATAGGTGATCCCCAATTTATGACCACAATTGTGACCAAAATTTCCATTGTTAAGCTAAAACACTCAAAGAGCCATTTGGACCTGTTTCCCAAAGAAAAGAAAACACCTGGAGCCACAAAACCTGGGTGGACATGGCTAATTCAATGTCACTCCCACCCAGTCACATGACCACCACCCTACACCTACCCAGGTTTTGTAGATCCAAGTGCTTTCTGTGGGAAACTATCTCCTTCCCTCTCCCTCTCATTTGTTTCCCTTTTTCATTCTCTCCCTCCATCATTTTCTCATTTTTCACTCCTTTCTCTTTTTCTCCCCTTTTCTCTCATTGTTTTTCTTTCTTTTCTTCCTTTCTCTCGCTCTCTTTCATTCCCTCCCTCTTTTCCCTCTCTCTCATTCTTTACCTCGAACTCACTCTCATTTCTCTCTCCCCATTCTCTCTCATTTGTTTCTCTCTTTTTCCTCTCTCATTCTCCATTTTTTCATTTCTCTCTTCGTTCTCTCTCTCTCTCTCTCTCTCTCTCACACACACACACACACGGGCGCGCGCGCGCGAGGATACCCTCTGCAAGCGAGCGGAGCGGTGCCTCCAGCTGCACTCAAAAGTCTCTTCTGGGCAGCTTTAAATCTCGCATGGAGGAGTTTTGCCGCCCAGAGGAGGTTTTTCAATCAATGCTGCCAGCGGCGCCACTCAGCTGGTAAAGAAGCTGAGGGCACTGGGAAAATGGTTCTGGCCCCGCCAAACCTTGCACGCCCACCCCGGTGATCAGGCTTGATGAAAGCCGGAGAGCCCTCGCCAAAGACGCTGGCCCGTCAGCTGGTCAACCTGCCCGCTCCGTGCACCTTCGTTGCACTTTGGCGCGTGCCCTCCCAGCCCTGCAACAGCCTACCAGGGGATCGCGTGAGGAGGAGGAGGGTTGTCTTCGGGAAAACCGTCACTGCGGCTCGTGCTCGCTCCTTAGCTGCGAGCCTGTCCCCTTTCTGTCCTCCTCCCGGATCCCATTCCCACTCAACCAGCCCTCGTGTTAGCGAGGTTGGCATTAGCCACGGTCGGGTTGGGCCAGTGGCTCAGGGCGGAGACCAGGTCGCGTGACCAGGTTGGCAAGGAGCGGGGTCAAAGAGCGACATGCGGCTCTGAAGCCACGGTTGCCGATACCCCCGAGACTCAAGTGAGTTTTCTCCATTTTACTGTGACTTTTCTAGCCACAGTTGCTAAATGAATCACTGCAATTTTTAAGTTTAGTAACATGATTCTTAAGTGAATCTGGCTTCCTCATTGACTTTTCTTGTCAGAAGTTGCAAAAGGTAATGTATATAAGTAAATATACATGTATAAATAAAACTCAATATACATGTAGAGACATAGTTTTATATATAAATACTGGTATAAATAAAACTAAAGGCAGGGAATATACCGGTCTAAAATTATCCAGGCAGCTTTCGTGGCTATGGCAGAACTTAGAACTCAATATCCTGATTTGTATGGCAGCATTTTATATTGTTTCTTAGCCATGGCAACTTGAAGACATGTGGACCTCAAGGCCAGAATTCTCCAGAGAGCCTGCTTCCTGGGGAATTCTGGGAGTTGAAGTCCATGCACCTTCAAGCTGCCAAGTTATGAAACGCTGCCTTCGTCAAACTGGCTAGGTTTATTAAAAAAAATAGAGGCAGTGAATAGCCATTCCGGCGTGTAATTCATATGACGCACTGAAGCATTAACTAACCCTGTCTAGACAGGCAAAGGTAGCTCTGGCAACTGTGCACATTCAATTTCGGGAGGGAGGGCGGCCTAGCTAGTATTTCTTTATTAGTTGCCCTTATCGCAAAATCGTTAAAACTGTAATTTTGTCGCTGGAAGGGTTCACATAGCAACGGAAGAGCGGAAGTTTCAACAAAATATATTCAAAACCAAGGCGGGCGCTGAAAGTGTTGTGAAACCGTTGCCTCCCAAGCAGCGGCGAGTCCTCACGAACGACACCGCGGCCCAACCGCTCCTCCTGACAGGGAGCCCCCTCCCCACGGAGCCATCGTTTCGTGCCGCGTGTCTCTTGGAAAGGCTTCGCGGAATCTGCGAAAGGACATCTCTGCTGCGGATAACCCGTAGACTGTTCCCAAAGTAATGGAGCGGCTGACATTTCAGCCCGGGGCTGCTGCGGCCATAGACGACTACTTGGAATATAAGAGGTAAGGAAGTCGATTGAACGGGCGCTTCTTAACCACCCAAAAGTCGTTGGATGGGAAAGTCGTTGCTAAGGCGCCTGTACGAAGAGGAAGTCCTTGCTGAGGGTAACACCATGTCTCAAAGGCCCGCTTTTATTCAGATTATGTTTGAAGACCCGCGCTGTAGTCTAGTGGCGGTTTGGATTTCTGTATAGCCTTATAGCTATACTGTAAACTCTACGATAAACTTTGAGTTGCTCACCTGAATCAGGAACACATTTTAGGGATTGGATAAAATGGAATTGACGGATTTATTCCACTCAACCTAGTTGATTCAGCAAACTATGGGACAGCTTCCTAAGAGTTAGAGGTGTTGGGGCATATAAATTAATAAATGTCTTCTGGGTATGTGTAAGAAAGAATTTCTTCACTTTCTGAAGATGCTGTTCTTTAGCAGCCAAGATAAAGATCTGGACTTAAGCCTCATTTTCCAATAGGGAATTTCCATTCCACTTTTAGCTTCAGCATTTTGGCTGTGTTTTTGCAACACAATAACCTCTAAACCAGGGGTAGTGAACCTTTTTATACCTACCGCCCACTTTTGTATCTCTGTTTGTAGTAAAATTTTCTAACTGCCCACTGGTTCCACAGTAACGGTGCTTTTTAAAGTAGGGATGTAACTTTACTTTATAAAGCAGAGTTACAGCAATAGCAATAGCAATGAAAGCTGGAACGCCCACTAGTGGGCGGTAGGGACCAGATTGACTACCACTGCTCTAAACTGTGGCTCACTGAATCCATTAATTTTATTTATTTATTTATTTATTTATTTATTTGACTTGTATACCGCTTCATAGAGTTTTCAGCCCTCTCTAAGCGGTTTACAATTTTTTTTTTAGCAAATTGAGTCAGCAAATTGCCCCCACA